CCTCGGACTCTGTGTCTCTCTCTCTCTCTCTCTCTCCACTCCCTTGTTCGTGTTCTCTGTCTCTCTCTCAAAAATAAAGAAACATTTAAAAAAAAAGTATGGGAAATATATTTTTTATGTAGCATTTCTGCAAAAAAATGTCGTCATTATTCATACTCAAGTTCAAACCTGGCAACAGGGAATCCATCCCCTAGCTGTGAAAACAGGTGCAACAGGCACACCTGTGCACCAGCTCCTTGGGCTCCAGGCCTCCACATTCGACCTGGCACTTCCGTCCCCTGTGCAACGGCACCTGTGACCGGCCCAGCAGGGCCGGGGACCGCACAGGGCTCCCTCCCGACATCACTGGTCCTGCTGTTAACCACATCAAGTTCGGGAGAGGCTGGGAGCAGCGGGCACTGACACGGCACGGCAGTCCTGGAAGCCTACCTGGTAGAGGGAGAACTGTCCCGGCTTCAGGCAGTCTGGCCACAGAGTCAGAGAACAGGGTAACTATTCTATTCTGCTCTACGCTCCCACGTTACTGCCCTTTCTTTGAATCTGTGTGCTTCGATGAAGGGAGTATGAACAAATGCCTATGGTTCTCAACTGCTTTAAAATTTTTAAAATATTTTTAATGTTTACTTATTTTTGAGAGAGAGAGAGAGAGAGGAAATGGGGTAGGGGCAGACAGAGGGGGACAGAGGATCTGAAGTAGGTTCTGTGCTGACAGCAGTGAGCCTGATATGGGGCTCGAACTCACAAACCATGAGATCATGACCTGAACTGAAGCCCGAAGCTCAACTGACTGAGCCACCCATAAGCCCCTGGTTGGCAACTGTTAGGCCAGCTCTCCTCCATCCTTGTCACCGACATCTTCCATCCTCTGGCATGATAACCATGTCCTCTGGGCTCAGAGTCTACAAAGCTCTTCTTTTGTCTATATCCTTTTATAAATGGTCTATTCTTGCCACAGAAGTGTGGTTCTCTGAGGGCCGCTTATATGCTATCTCAGCCTAATGCCTCACCTTAAACTCCTCCTTAAAACATTTTTCTCAAAGAACAGTACTTTGTCTTAAGAATGTCTTAAGAAATTACTGGAGACAAGAGTTTAATGGGGTAAAAATGCCCAAATGAGAACCGTCACTGACACGACAGGAATGGAGGGTGATCTGGAGCAGAGCCTTGGTCTCAGCCTCTCAATGTGAGGGATTTGAAATATTCAGAGCTGCACCCCTACCTCTTGAACCTTTCTTTGAAAACGAGGTTGAGGCAGTTTCTCAATCTAGGAGGTGGTTTTTACCCACAGGACCAAGACAAAAAGGGAAGAAAACATTCTGTTCAATCTCACAGACTTGGTACTTTTTAGATCAGAACAGAAACCTGTGGAAAAGTTACAGGAGTCAGCAAATTAATAGTATCCCTTAGAGTTTTCACCCTTTCTTTTAAAAACTGTTTATTTTTGAGAGAGAGAGAGAGTGTGAGCAGAGGAGGGGCAGAGAGTGAGGGGAGGCAGAGAGCGAGGGGGACAGAGCATCCAAAGCCCGTTCTGTGCACTGACAGCAGTGAGCCCGATGCGGGGCTCAAACTCACAAACCGTGAAATCATGACCTCATGACCGCAGTCAAAGTCGGGCGCTCAGCCAACTGAGCCACCCAGGTGCCCCCGAGTTTTCACTCTTTAAGTGCTAACCTGCTAGTAACCAATCATTCTACTGATTCTATATCTATTGGGTTATTTCAAGTATCCACTGTTAACATGATTCCCCACATTCCCTTATCTGTAAAAATTACACAGGGGCCCACAATAAGTCTTCTGAAATATGCTTCCTGTGCATTTCCTACAGAGACACACCAAAATCCCCTCTTCAACAAAGCAAAGGAAAGGTCCACAGATCTTCTTGAGTCTCTGGGCAAAAGATGGTTGGCTCCATGTCTCCTGATTTCCCTGAGGAGGATACAGCTATTTTCTCTCAAAGCTAACTTGAAGCTTTGCTTCAGGATAATAAGCGGCGATGGCACACAAGTGGACCGTCTCCCTAAGACTTAAGTAACAAAAATCCTCCACAGCCCACGAAATAACAGAATAATGACTGGCACTATCTGGGTGGCAGACTGAGATGATCAGTAACTATTCAAATCCCTCTGCTGCTAACGGTGAACCGGGGACTTTGAGAGCGGCAGCTGCCAGGAGCCTTACTTCTAGTTGTTATTCTGCCGTTACTGGGGCAGGATGAGGGGGAGAGGGTCACCTTATGCTCTTAAACTTTTGATATTCTGTAAAGCCAAAACACTAATAGTAACAACTGGAGGGTCCAGGAAAGACGGAGCAGATACTGAGACACTCTAGTGAGCCATGGTTTATGACAACAGAGCAAGAAGTTCTTCCCCCTGCCAGCAATCTCCAAAACCTTAATGGGAGCTTTTTTTCTATCATTCATTCATCCATCCATCCATCCGTCCATCCATTCATTCAAAGAGAGCATGCTTCCACGGCGGGGGGGGGGTGGGGGGGTGGGGAGATACAGAAGGAGACACCAAGAATCCCAAACAGGCCCCATGCGCAATGTGGGGCTCAGTTCCATGATCCTGGGACAAAAATCAAGATTCTGATGCTCAGCCAACTAAGCCAGCCAGGCACCCCTCTTTTTATTTAAAAAAAAAAAAAAAAGTTTTTAAAAGAATGCAGAACTTTAAACTCGGAGCTACTGAAGGGGAATGTCAGTTCATCAGCTACTTTCTACAAAAACAAGTGGCAAAACTCTGTATCTGAAGTATTATCAAAGCAAGGGATCTGGAGAGAGGAGGAACACAGTGAAAGTAAGGAAGACATAAAAGGTTAACTGAGAATTTTGTTTTGTCTATTGCATCATCCAAATAGTGCACATACATTTTTTACTGTGGTTAGAACGCATAACAGGAGATCTACCCTCTTAAGAAATTTTTATGTGCACAATACAGTATTGTTCACTGTGTGCACAATCGTCTTGCTTAATTGAAACTTTATACCTGTTCAACAGCAGTTTCCCATTTCCTCCTCTCTCCAGCTCTTGGCAACCACAATTTTACTCTGTGTTTCTAGGAGTCGGACCATTTTAGATACCTCATTTAACTGGAATCATGCAATATGTCCTGTGACTGGCTTATTTCACTTAGAATAATTAACTGAGCATTGGAAAGATAGCTAAGTGAAAATTTTAGGAAGTAGTTAACTGGCCAAAAGTATATTTGATTAAAAACTACGCAACACAGTAATCTCAAACTATACAACCACTACCAGCAAAAGAAAGAGGACATGGCTAGGACTTGGGTGGGAGTTTTATGATACTAGTACAATCAGAAATCCCTGCATTACAAGTGTTTCCCTTTCATTATGTAGATTCCTCCCCATTTAAACTAACCATAAAAGTCAATAATTAAAACAAGCTTAAGAAAATCATTTGCTAGAGTGTCCTGCACAGGTTTACTTTGCATCTGCTGAGATCAAACTGCTTCTACTAGATCACTAGGTTGTAAGGTGAAAACAAATGGAAAAATCCGGGAGTGCATTTAAAATTAGAGGCCAGGGCAAAACCAAAGGTAGAGCACTGGCTCAAAAGTTAGCTCAGGGCCAGGAAGCCAGTAAGATTAGATGTGCCAAGTATCTGATCTATAAGCAAACCGAAAAGCAAGTAATTCAACGCTTGGCTGTTAGGGAAAACTATGGTCTAAAATAAAATACGCTCGAAGGAGAAGAGAGGAGAGGCCCTTCCTGAAAGTTTATGCTAATCAACAACAAGCAAGATTAACCTTAAAATAGGAGGAGTTTAAAATAAAGACAGAAACTCTGAAGACTTTTGATACCTCTCTCAATATAACACAAAAAAACATCTTTTCATTTTCCAAGTAGTGTTTCAGATACTCAGAAGTAAACAGTATCCATAAAGTTTTTTTTAAAGAAACTTCAAAAGTCTGAAACTATAAGGTTGAACCTTGTGAAATTGTCATGTTTTTGAACATCAAGAAGTTCAAGTATCAGAAATTTCACGTGGTTCAACCAAAGAAAAAAAGGGGCTCATTAATTCAATGCTAAGAATAAAAATCTGAAGACACGCTAATATTCTGTGGCTTCGACTTGGCTTCTACTTCTACGGGAAGTAGGAGTCAAAGTCACACACTACTGTGGCCATTCAGTGGCCATGTAAATAAGGCTAAAAATCTATTTTCCATTTATAACTTTTTTTTTTTTTGTCTACGACACGACAATTCTATTCCCAATAGAATTCTCCATTCCTCTCTTTGGACCCCAAACCCAGCTGTTGGTGGTAAAACTTCAAGCACACAGTCCTTCTGTGCCCACATACACCGCACTTCTCAATCTGGAATTCACTGCCATCTCCTACTCACTCCATCCCTCCTCTACTGTGCTACTTTCTTCCACCTCTGGCACACTGACAGTCCCATCTGTCCATGGCAGGTTTCCCCCACCCCTTTCCTTTGAATACACCAGTGATCTAACCATTCCAGCATAGAATGTGGCAATTCGTATCAGCCTTTGTCCTCTGCCATTCCCATACAGATGAGCTCTGTTACAGTCTTAAAGAACGCATAGGAGATATGGTCTCACTCCATTTTCTGCCATATCTAGATCCTGGTGGCTTTCTCAAAAAAAAAAAAAAAAAAAAAAAAGTCGTTCTCTGTGGTAGTAGTAAAACAAAACAAAACAGGAAAATGTTTTGGAGCTTTCTGGATTCCGGAAAATGTGCACAGAGCCTGAGTGACCGACGTTAAGCATTAAGGAAGTAACGTGTAACGGCAAGAGGCTCTCAACGTGCCTTCCACAATTTGCGATGACGGCATGTTTCAGAACAGTACAGGCACATTTCTGACGCTCACTCCATCGGAATCAATCATTTTCTAACTTCGATTCTGGCGGTTACAGAGGCAAATACGGTGACGACACCAACAGGATGACAAACATAGTATCTGACACCCCACTGTTTCGAACGCCCACGCACAACCGCCCACGCGACATCTACATACCTCGAATTCGCTATTTCCACTTTGGTTCTGGCCATGGCAGCCGCCCTTTGCGCGCCTTCAATTGCTCGGTCCACCTTCTCCCTAGTTTTTGTATTTCGTATCGGTATCAGCTGCTTCCTTATTCCACGGACCAGAATATTATTTTTGTATTTCCCCTCTTCTTTGGAGCCGTCGGGAAACACGGTGCAGCCGTAGCCATGCCTCTTGTTGTTTGCCCACTCGCCTTCGTACTTCATGCCGTTGGAGCGCTCGCTAATGCCGAACCCGTTTCGCTTGTCGTTCTTCCACTCGCCCATGTAGGTTTCCGTGGTGGTGGCGTCCACGTGGTCTTCCACGGGGCAAAAATCACAATCTACGTCGCCGAAGCTGATGGTGGAGTTGGCGTCGCTGGAACTAATTCTGCTCATGGCCGCGTCGCTGCGCACCGAGCTGCGCTTGCTGGAGATGGAAGACTTGGATTCGGACTTGCGAAGTTTCATGCTTCCGAGGAGGGAGCCCCTTCGGAAGAGGCCGCCCTTCTTCTTGCCCGCGAGCTCCGCGTCGGCGTGGAAGTTGAGCACGAAGCCGCCGCGGGTGCCGGCGGGGCTGTCGGCGGCGGCCGCGGCGTCGTGGAGCACGCTGCCGTTGCTCTGCTCGCTGCGCAGCGAGGCCATGGAGGTGCGCAGCGGCGAGCGGATCACCGTGGCCATGCCGTACGGCACGCTCTGGCGCACGCCGTAGCCGTGCCGCATGCCGCCGGCCCACTGGCCCTGGTAAGTACCTTCGGGAGAGACGGCGAGAAAGCACAGCGTGAGTCGGGGGCGGGAGGGGGCGACCTCGCCTGCCAGCCCCTGGGTGCGCCCAGGAGAGCCTGGTGCCCAGAGCAGGCAGGCAGGCTCGTGGTCAAAACCCAGCCCCCCAGCACCTGGGTGCGCCCAAGAGAGCCTGGTGCCCAGAGCAGGCAGGCAGGCTCGTGGTCAAATCCCAGCCCCCCAGCACCTGGGTGCGCCCAGGAGAGCCTGGTGCCCAGAGCAGGCAGGCAGGCTCGTGGTCAAATCCCACACGTCTCCAGGTCAACCCTAAGCGATACTCTACGTTTCATCCACTTGCTTGTGAATTCGCGCCCTGTAATTCTGTGTCTATGGATTCAATGTAATTGTTTAGCTTTTTCCAAACGTTTGGTAGTTTTATGTTTCATTTAAAAACGAGTGTTTCAGATGAAACCACCGCTTTGTAATACGAAAATAGTGATCATTAGAGAACTTTTCTCCCCTGAAGTTAACACATCAAACTCCTCATAGGAAGGTAGTGTCACAGAAGATGAAATGAGCTCTACTCGTGAATTTTAATTATACTCATTGAGCAGAAAAGCTCTAAAAACTCTAGGTCTGTCACTAGAACATTCCAACAAGCTCAGAGACTTAATTAAAATGGTTAGTGGTCGCGACATGAGTCATCAAGCACATTTTACTTTACATTTTTCTTTTAGGTTCAGCATCTTTTTTTTAGGGCAGGAAAGCTGTTTAATATTTAGAATTATTATTTAGATTTGGGAGAAATGTTTGGAGCTAAGAGTGATTTGACAAAAATGATATATACCCTGAATATGGTGAGACATTATGAAAAAATGGGCAATTGATTTTAACATTTTGTACTTCCACGTGAAATGGTCAAGATTTGCCCTGTACTCCTTGCCAGATTTGCTTTCTCCTGGTCATTCTCTTCATAGATTTCCCTAGTCACTGCCACTACGTAATGAGCCACATCATGGACTAGAAGCACTCTGAGGGCAGGAGTTACCTCCTAAGCAAACACAAAACTTCCAGTCTCATGGCTTATGTGTCTTGTGGTCTGCAGGTGTTGATGACTTTATAGTAAGTAGCTATGGTGGCTCAAAAGAGTATACAATGTACCCCTAGAAAAACTGAACTAAGGCCAAAATAAAACTTCCACTATTTAACAGTATGGAATTCATCTCAGAGCAAAGGGATGTTTGACAATGTCCCTAAAACTTTGTTGACTCCAGATCACTTTTTCAATGAATAGTATGCCTTTTTAGGAATAGCAGAATCTCTAATCTAAAGCATTTGTGTAAATTTTTAAGCAAGTTAGCAAAATAATGTAGTGCTGCTTTTAAAATAATCACATGAAAAACTGAATACTAAAATTAGGGAGCTTATGGGTGGCTCAGTCAGCCATAGGACTCTTGAATTTTGGCTCAGGTCATGATCTCACAGTTTGGGAGTTTGAGCCCTGCGTTGGGCTCTGCCCTGGTGGTATTAAGCCTGCTTGGGATTCTCTCTCTCTGCCCCTTACCTGCTCTCTCTCTCAAAATAAATATAAGTGAACTTGAAAAGAAATAGGAAACTTAGGGAAAAAAATTTTTTTTCTTTTTATAGAATATAGAATTTTCTTTTCAAAATCAAGGCCATTTCCTTTAATTAAAGGCACATTTTAAATTATGGTATCCCCCAGAAGTTATCTAGAAATTTTAAGATATAAGTACTTCTGTATGTTTCATAGTAACTCACAATACCATAGAAAATAAATCATTACAGTGATGCAATCATTTGATGTAATCAAACGTCGACCTCTGTCAGTTTCTGATTGTATAGATCTACCTTGAAGTCACTTTTCATTTTATATTGCCACACACAGATTTCCGCTGTGTGGCATGTTTACTTTTTAAATACTGAGCGATAATGCTAATGGTTTTAGATCACTGTGTTAATACGTGATTTCATTGCATTTAAAAGTTAAAACTGTAATGGATCCAAAGCAAAAGTTTTGATTCATTTCAAGACTACCTTCTCTTTCTGTTTATTCTGATAGGTCTTTTTATAGGACATAAATCTAACAGCAGGGCAACAATGAAATTCTAGGAGGTCTGGTACGATGAATGTCCTATTCTAGGCAAATGTACAAGTTTTAACCTGACCTTTATGAACTTCTAAGAAGGTAGGTGGGCCATAGCTTTCTCAAAAGGATTGAACCCCAAAGGATAAGACAGTCGTATAGAACATTTCGGGTTAAGAAGGTTCCTGCTGAATATTAGCCATTTCCAAATACCACCACCTTAACACGGAAGGGAATTAAATTAGGAAATCTGAACTTTGACTTTTCCTTGGTCTATATAGATAAAATACAAGTTCTAGCATAAAGGTTCTACAACTTGACTTACATGTTAAAACCTTTTTTAAAAAATATTTTGTGTAAACAAGGAATGCTATAATCACCTCCTAGCTTTCTACATCATGACAAGTTAATTTTGCAAGAATAGTTTCCAAAGGTGCTATTTGAGATCAATTAAGTTTCATACTTTTAAAATGCAACCATACCATCTTAGTAAATGTTTAACAGCGAGGGAGAATTAACAAGTAGCTTTCTTAAACTGATATCTCCAAAAGTAAGACAAGTATTCAGAATTTCCAAATAAGTACTGCTTGAAAATCCAAGCAGTTTAAGGCAACAGCAGTAATTAGAAAGTTTAGGTCTCTGCTTAACTGTCAAGCAGGGAAGGGGAGGTGGTAACAGCATTGGCCACATTCCCATCCGATTTTCTTAAATCACAGTGTATGGAAGGCTTCCTCCATGGAATTGCTAAAAACCAATTTACAGTCAAACTGTTAGGAGTTCATTTGAAATTTAAAATAGGTTTAGTCAATGAACTTAGAAAAAAAAGGTTTCTATTTTTTTTTTTTTATGAAGCAGGTAGGTATCAACTTCTCACCACTGTCCAAATAAAGTTCTAATTAGCTCCTCTCCATTCCTCAAATAAAGATGCAGATTTCACAAGCATAAAAAGTATTTTTATGGGTTTTTAAAGTATGTTCTATGATTTTTCATCTGGGAACTGGTTTGCTAGCTATAGCCATTTTAACTACACAGTCTTGTAGTGGAAGGCTCCCAGTTCAGAAGGCGTTCCCGTCAAATGTAGACCGTGCTATGCCAAACCTACATTTGTGGGCAGTGAATGGGTATATGCAAGCACGCATACAGTTAATAAAGCAATGCGTCCTCCTAGATATTTCCCATAGTTTTATGGCTGGTGAAAACAATGAGGCACAGCAGATCAGAATTTATGCAAAAAATTCTGGGCACCTGGATGTGGATTTCATTATTATGGCACTTATTTTTAATTTTCAGGCAATTTCTATGCCAGCAACACTTCGCACACACATTACTGATAAAATAAGTCAAGTGGTACTTCCCACGTGAAGCTAATGCTTTCTTCATCTTCCAGTTTAATGTCCTCACAGAATACATGGAGTCAGATTTTCCCGAAGTTTGACAGAGGGTGCCCAGGGATGGGCATGTGGTGGTGAAGAGGCAAAAATAAACTAATTCTTAAGTAAGAATGGGGAGGGTGAGATTTCCTAGTTTGGCCAAAAGTTCTGTATAAAATAAGTTATTGCAATATACTTCTACTTAGACCACCACTTTATGACTCTGGACTTTCTAATTAAACGGAGTGACATATGAAAGAAAGCAGAAAATCAGCTAGTGCAGAGTAGACCCTGAAAGTGATTTTTAAAGTTTTTTTCCTTCCTAATTGGTAGCATACTTGATTTTTTTTTTACACAAAAGGAAAACCACAGTCCCATGGTGATGCCAAATTCTAAGGGTTTCAAAAGTTTTTTAAGTCAGTTTAAAAACAGAAGACAGATTATTCATAAAGTCATCCCAGTCATTTGAGCTTCTAAAACACATAGAAGACCTCTGTTATGCTATATATATACTTTTTTTTTATTGCTAAGTGTAATGAATACTCTAAACCAAGAGATTTTGTTTAATTAGTAACTTTAAAAGACTAATTTATTTTTAACCTTCCCAAACTGAAGAGAACTATCCTTGTCCTTCTTAAAAGGTTATAAAATAACAAGCATTATTTAAAAAATAAATTTTGCATTCTACTTTTGAGCATGGAATTTAGTTATATTGCAGACCTAGGGTCTCCAATAAAATCCCGTCACAAGCTAGCATATTTACAGGGCTGTCAACTAACGTACTATATGCCCATTCAGAACATTTAAAGGCCGAATTAATAACTGTGGAGCGCAAGTCCCATATAACCCTTATAAAGATTTTGCCCCCTTTTAATCCATGAGAACCATATCCTTTATTTATACTGTAGGACCAAAAGATGTCCATTTTATCAAATCCTACCATTGTACGGTTTTGCATTTCAAATACAGCCCAAGTGTTCTGAGTAAGTGAAGTGTACAAATTGTATAAGCTTTTATATAAGTAGTGACCTAACTGAAGTTGCAGTGGGCTGGAGAAACTTTTAATTGGATCCTTTTCATACCCTTCAGCTCTGAGCCGCGTAATTACAAAAGTTGACACTGCCTCCTAGAACCCTTTTCAATTAACTATGAGTGTGTTTATTATCAGAAAACGTATTTTGCCAAAGTATAACCCATTCATCCTTCTCCGCTCATTACACAAGGAAATTCATCAGGTTTTGACACCTGTTTCAGTAATGGATACTTCTCGTAATTAAAAGAAAGGAAAAAGGAACTCTGCCTCTACACAATTTATTTTGCAAATATTGTAAAGTATTAAAACGAGGCAATTTGGGGCATAGCCAGCATGTTGAGGTCATACACCTTAGTGCAATTTAGTGATTCCATATTGTCACGCTCTGGAATAAAGCGGCTGCTAACTTAATTGCAGGACTAGAGCTTTTAATATATTTCTTAAAACACCGGCTTCGTCGTTCCTTTCGAAGACACTTTCCTAGTAATTTGCCCAAAGTTCTCCAGGTCAACAATGACGACCAACCATTCTTTTGATTGAAAACCACTACTTTAAGGAACCTAACGAAAACTAGGAAGAAAAACCCACACCCTCTGAGCCCCACCTGCATCAGGTGGCCTCTCCACTTCCATAGCTAGGAGGTTTCCAAATGCCACTACGCCAAACAAGGCGCAGTTCCCCTACATCTTAGTTATGGGGTTCTGGCTTCTATCTTTAGGCTACGGGAGGACCAGAAGCGAAATACGACTCCACGTGAAACCAATCCGGGGAGCGGTCGGCACCGACCGCCAGGCTCCCGAGCCCAGGGCGTTTGCTCTAACTCCGCCGGAGTGGCGTTTTCAAACCCGGCCGGGAGAGGGAGGGATCAGGAACGTAATGTGACGGGCTCAAGTGACAGCGTCCTGTCTCCAGCCCGGCCCACCCGGGCGGCGCTCCCTCCTGGTGGCAGTGCAGCGCTGGCGCCGGCCAGGTAGATTCACGCCTCGCTCCCCCGGGTGTGGACACGCCGCCCGTTCCGAGAACCGGGTCGGACCAACCCCCCCCCGCGCTAGTCGCGTCCCCACGCCGGCGCGGGAGGTGGGTGGGAGGCCTCCCCAGGTGTTTTGGCGGGTTTCCGGGCACGTGCGCCTCGAGTCCTCCCCGCTTCCCCGCAGCCGGGGCAAAGCCCAGCGCACCAGCTCGCGGCGCAGCCGGGCCGCCGGCGACGCTGCTCACCTCCGTCCCCGTAGGTCTCCACGCCGTACCCGTCCTGCAGCCCGTTACTCCAGGTACCCTCGTAGCGAGCGGGGGTGCACAGGCTCTGCCGGACCCCGTAGCGCCCCTTGAAACCATGTGACCACTCCCCCCGGTACATCCACTTGCCCTTCGTCTCCACCCCCAGCCCGTGCCGCTTGCCCTGCGCCCAGTAGCCCTGGTAGGTGTTGCCGCTGGGCCAGGTGTAGCCTCCAGCCACCTCGAAGCCGTGCGACCAGGAGCCCGAGTACTCGCCCTGGCCCCTGGGCCCCGTGCAGATGCCATGCCCGTGCGCCTTGCCCTCCTCCCAGCCGCCGCAGTAGGTGCCGCCATCGTCGAAGTCGAACCTTCCGCCCGTCATTCGGGGGGCAGCCCCGGCGCGCTCCCCGCGGGGGCACGGACGCGGGCAGAGCTGGGCACGGCAGGGTGTAGCTCGGGGACGGGGGCCCGGCGGGCGAGCTCACGACAGCGCCCCGGGCAGCTCGCGCCGCCGCTCGGCTCCAGTCCGACGCCGCCCCCGTCCTCCCCTCTTCTTTCGCCGCCGCCACCGCCGCCTTCCTCCTCCTCCTCCTCCTCCTCCTCCTCCTCCTCCTTCCCCGCCGCCGCCCGGGCCAGCGCCGCGCGCGAGAGGACAGCCCAGGCTCCGGAGCGGACCTTCAGCTGCTCCCGCCCGCCCACGTGAGCCGGGCGCCGCCCCGCGCCCGCCCCTCGTCCCCTCCCCGGGCGCCGAGGCCCGGCCCCGCGGCGCTCCGGCCCCGCCCGGCCCTGCCCCCCGCCCCGGGAGCCGACGCTTCCCCGGCGGCGGGCGGGCGGGCGCGGGGAGCGGGCGGCGCGCGTGTGTTCGAGCCGTGCGATGCCGGTGGCGGGGCGAGCGTACCCAGGGACGCGCGAGAACCCCGGCGGGCAGACGAAGGCGCGGCTGCGTGTGCGGGGGCAGCTCGCGGGCGGCGCAGCCTCCTGTGTTTGTGTTTGGGGTTTATCAAAGTGGTTAAGCTCCTGTAAGTGCCACCACGTGTGCGTTGAGGGAAAACTCCCGTATGCGTGTTTGTCTGCATGGGGTTTGTAGTTGCATTTTTTCGGCATTCCAACTTGTGTACTGTTGCGTTTGTCATGCTCAGCTGTCATCGTGAATTAACAGCTCCTAGATAGATGTATGCATGTGATATAAATCTCCGGCAGCCTAGATATAATTGTGCAGAATGTTCTTTTACACCTACCCGTTTCTAAGCACATGTGTTTGCATTTATTTAATGAAGATACGGGGCGGGGGGTGGGGGGAGAGAGCCGTGCAATTTGAAAAGGCGCAGACTAAATTGGTTAGCTTTTTATTTGTAATAAGGAAGAGGATGTTTTGCATCTGTCTTTCCAGAGGTATATGCTATTTCCTTTCGCATCAGAGCTCCTAATGCCTCATTTGTTCTTCTGACAACCTTAGAAATTCTTCAGCCAGGAGCTATGTACCCAACAGGCAAGACAGCTCAGTCTTTGAATATAGTGTTTGTATCTGGAATGTACACCTGGTACCTCTCCACCGGGATCCACAGTTTAACAAAATAAATAGAAGATCTCAAGGAGGAATATGGTAAGTAAGACAGTGTTCTAAACTTACAAAAAGCCTGTGACCTAAAAAAAAAAACTGGGGACAGGTGTCAGCTGATCTACTTTCCAGCTACAACACTGCTTTGTTGAATTCACTTTAGGCAACTCTTTTGAACTTGCAAACTTCTATGTTCCCATCTGCCAAATGGGAATGGCAAGATTTGTTTCCCCCCTTTCTGTGTAAGATGATAACAGAGTATGTTGCGCACAGTGCGAAACCAAGAATTAGAGATTTGGTATTAGGCGAGTTGAATCAGTAGAGTCTTTGGTGAAAGCAGGCATTGGTCTCAAGCTCACCATCAATATACTTACGGGAGACACCTTTCTGTGGTTCATACCCTGGGGTCTTAGGTTGGCCTCTCAGGGACACTGCTTTGCAGAGTTTTCATGATATTCCTTAGACTGAGAGGCTTTGGGATGACTGGAGAAGCAACAGAGGCTGCCAAAGTTTCCGTAAGTATTTGATAATCAGATAAAAATGATCTGATGTCAGGGTGTCAGGGTAAGGGAGCAGGGGAAAAACAGATTAAACTACACAGAAAAGGAACTGAAATTGACCTTGAATGGCTGTATCTCAGGATTGGAGCTGGCCTTTCCTGCTTATCTGGCTGAAATACTGAAAGAAAAATCTCAGTTTACACAGAGCCAAATCACCAAAGAGAATTAGAAACCCTCATCCATGGCACTGCCTGCAGAGATGCCAGGAATAGTGCTTACCCTAGTGGCCTGAAATAATTACGCATCTTGCTCAGCATCTTGTCCTGGACTAGGGATTGATTTAGGCCACTGGGAAAACGAGGGCCCAGGACTTTGCAGCTGAACCGCAGTTCATTTCTCTGTTACGGGGTACACCAGGATCAGAAGCTAGCATCGGGAGACACGTGGCCATCTACTGTGGGGCTCTATTTGATATGAAAACACTGCAGTTGCTCAAGCCGACATCTTTTTTTCCTCTTCTTAAACTGGCTTTTCTCACAAAGTACGTTTTGTCCTTTTCCCATTCTTCTTTTTTGTGAATCTACACCCATATGTGTTGGAATCCATATATGAATATTTCAGGGCTAAGTTTTTGTTCGCAAGCATGGTGGAAACACTTTTTTTTTTAACTTTTCCGAATGAGGTCTCATGCAAATAATGGATTTCTTCTGAAATTAACTCGCACAGAGCAAGTGACGCACTGGCTTCTGTGACGGATGTCTAGGCCGTCTCTGGTGGGTGGACAAAGGATGATGACACACATATATCTGGATAGAATATGGAGATTAGGAGAAGATAAGAGACAGGGCCATTTATCTCTTTATCGCTTGCTGTCCTTCATAAGATGTCTTCTTTGGAAGGATTCTTCATTAAAAGAGAATCCACCACCGAAGACGTGGTGTTCCGTTTCAAGTAATTCTAATCCTAACCTGAGTCTGCCATTGGCTCTCTTCATGGAAGGAAATTAGTATTGAATTTTTGGTTCAAAATTCAAAAGGACAACTTTGGCACGGTAACCATGTAAGCCATGCTTCAGCCTACCCCCTGCCGTCACAATGGAGTGTTTCCCCAGTCACACTGATGGGCTTATGAATATAAGTGTTCAGGTTCAATGGTAATGGTTGGAGAAGACTGGGAAAGAGAAGGAGGAGGAGGAAGAGGTGCTGACAGTGAGGGCATCACATATAGTAAGCAGTGGAATAATGCTGCAGTTCACTAGTCAGGGTTAGTAATGTCCTTATTTTCCCTCTCACTCTGAACCTTTGCCCTGGATAAGGGGGAGTTGAATTTAGCTTTAAGAAGGGATTAGTAAGAAGAGAATGTGAATGTGGGTTTGACAGGTGGGATGGGGGAGGCCATCAAAGCCCAGGGGCCAACAGCCACTCTAGCAGTTTCTTTTTCTCCATGCTCAAAATTCAGCTATTTTCGGCTTCCATTCTAAAAAAAAAAAAAAAAAAATTGTAACAAAACTAAGCCATTTTGAGTGTGAATGTCTAGTAACAACCTGTTGCTGAGGATGTTCTGTTTAGAATTTAATATTTTTTAATGAAGATGTGCTTAAAAACGTATTGGCAACTTTATTTTGTTTACATATCGGAATTATTGAAATTCTTGGTAAAAAATTTACAAACAACAAAGTCTGATCTGTAGATGTGTATGGTCTAAGGTGTGTTCGCCGCTTCAAAGTGTGTAAAAAATCACATACAATTAAAATTACTGCATTAGGTAAGTTAATCAAAATGAGTCGTTAGCACATTTAGAAAGCATTTATAAAAATTTAATGTATTGTGGAATAAACACAAAAGTTAAGAAATAAGGTTATAAGCTCTGCAGACAACCTGATATCAAAAGGGGAAGAAAATTCCAAAATGAGTGGTCTTCAAAACTTTGAAGGCAAACACTGAGTGCCAGATTCATTGCTAAGTTCTTTACATGCATTAATTCATTTAAATCTCCTAGTGACATAATACCCATGCGATTACTACTAGTGGTATAATTTTTTCTACAGAAGAAGAAAATCAAGTTTAAGACATTTATGTGCCCAAGATCATTCCAGGTAGAAATGGTCCAGCTGGGATTCAAACCTAGAGGTAGTTCTCTCTCTCTTTCTCTCTCTCAAATTAAAAAGAAAGAGAGAGAGAGAATACAAGCAGGGGAGAGGGGCAGGAGGTAGAGAGAGAGACAGAGACAGAGAGAGACAGAGAGAATCCCAAACAGGCTCTACACTCAGCATGGAGCCTAATGCAGGGCTTGATCTCAGAACCGTGAGATCGTGACCTGAGCCAAATGCACAACTGACTGTGCAATAAAGAGCTGGTTCTCTTTATTACCATCCTTCCCTAGAGCAAGGATGAGAGCTTTCAAAGGAGGGAAGGAAGCAGGCTGGATGGAGAGCAGGAAGGGCTGGTAAGGGTGATCTTTATTTCTTATGTTTTAGAGTAGCTGGGCAGAGGAATGGCGATGCTACCATATAGAATTAAAGAAATGAAGGGGCACCTGGGTGGCTCAGTCAGTTGAGCGTCCAACTTCAGCCCAGGTCATGATCTCGTGGTTTATGAATTCCAGGCCCACATCGGGCTCTGTGCTGACAGTTCAGAGCCTGGATCCTGCTTTGGATTCTGACTCCCTCTCTCTCTGCCCCTCCCCTGCTTGAGCTCTCTCTCTCTCTCTTCCAAAAATAAACATTAAAAAAAAAATAAATGGAGGAAAAAGGGTAAACTACAGAGGTGGGAAGATAGGTTTGTTGAGGAGAAAAAGATCCAGAAATATATCCTAAGGGAGATGTTCAGTAGACAGTTGGGTAAGGCAGGTCAAAACCTAAAAATAAATTAGTCAGAAAGTAAATAATCCTTAATTTGTCTTCATCTTCTCTAGGTCACTCCCCCATGTTCATCCAGGACTGGTGGCTCATGCCGTCTTCGCCTCACACATTGTTCCCTGTCACTGTCCTGAGAAGCTTCGTCCTGCCTCATGTCCATTGCCTCATGTCCATTGCCTTTCCAGCACCATGACTTTTATCCTCATGTATCATCAGACACAGCCTGGCCCTTACTTTGAGCAGAATGAAGACCAGCTCTGAAAACTGGAAGTTTACAGTCCCACTCTGTGACAACACTCTGGTCTTTCTTACACACTGAACAAGCCATTGACTTGCCAAAGTCTTTACTCCTTTGATGCACTACATGTCGTCCTAGCCCTTCCCTACCCTGCCTGAAGGCTTTTCTGCCACACTGTGCTTTCTCTAGTGATCTCCTGGGGCCCGCCCAGTCCCCAGTCTCATGCCCT